GCAAAGGAAAGGAGGTACAGTAGAATAAAAGAAAACTTGGAACAAGCTAAAGACATTTTCATCTCTTCTGAGTTATCTGATTTCTTCTTTTACATCAGCATTAGGCTGCGTTCGTACCGTGCGACGGCGTCGTCAACGTCGACGTAACCGACGAAAGCGACGTAACCGACGTTTTCGACGACTAGTTCGCGAAGATTATATACGTATCGATCCGACGTAAGCGGACGAAACCGACGAAACGCTGCGTAGACGAAATCTGCGTAACCTAAGTTTTCGACTACCAGAGATTAGATACGTATCGATCCACTCGTCGCCATAATCGACGTAACCGACGACAGAAGATTAGATACGTATCGACTGACGTCGATAACCGGTTTCATTGTACCGATAGGTATCTAATCTTCGTGAAGCAGTCGTCGAAAACGTCGGCGTTGACGACTACATCGCACGGTATGAACGCAGCCTTATAGACGGAAGGTAAATGGTGTTATAATACAATAATATTAAAATTTTACTTTAGCGGAGATATTGTAGTGGCAAGTGGGGCCACTTACCAGTAGTGTGGTCCAAAACCCGGATCGTCTGCCTGAACCGACCGAGTTTTTCGTGCCTGCGGGGAAAAACAGTAGTGGACTCGTGAAGATAAAATAAAAATCGATGCTACATTGGCACCCCTCGCCCCACCCGCAAATCTCCTACATTCCTGGAAGTGCCTCGATGCACTCCTCATATGGCCCCTACAACGAATTCTTTATTTGCTCGGTACGCTGTGTAAGGCAGCGTCAGAAAATAAAACATGCAACAGAATACAAAACCCCAAGGAAACATGCAGAAAAAAGGCAAACGACAACTATGAGGCAAGCAATTGTTTAGCTAGTGACTTTCTAAAAGATGCCAAAGAGCCTTGGATGGATGCGGTTTTGTTAAGGCGCAAATAAGCAAGTCCTGCTCTGACAGTGAAAAATTTCGTCTGAGAGTAGTTTTAGGTCTGGGAAAAGACAACTTTAGCTGAGCCCCCTGGTAATAGACGGAAGGAGGTTGTAGAAAGAAGAGCAATTGATAGCAGACTCCTTTCTAAGAAGCCTATGGAGCACACATAAATCAAAGAGGTTGCGTCGAGACTGGAGGGTTGGAAGTTTGAAGTATTCATTCCTTACTGATGCTTTTGGAATCTTAGCATACAGAAAACCTCCGCGACGGATAAGTATTTTCCTTGTGAAATTGTTTTGAATCTTTTCAACGAGAGCAATATCCTTTTTCTTATTAGGGGTAGGATACAACAGCCCCATTTTCCACCAACAGTCGAACATAAGGCTGCGTGGTGAAGTACCTTGCTGCCATTGGTTGCTAGGACCTTGAATATATTATAGGTACGATGGGATGCCCTTCTTATAAATATGTCTCTGATGTAAAGAAAAGTCAAGTTTGTCATTATAAAGAAAACCTAACTCCCTTACCTCCTTGACATTTATCTCCACATCATCAATGAAATAAGTGGTGGAATGTCCCGAAGAGGGGCCTAAGTGCATATGGAAAGATTTCGACGCGGAAAGCGGGATTTGCCAGTCAGTGGATTTAACAAGCACATCTGTAGTAGCTCGGAGGGCGTGTGCATCTTGCAAGGAGTTTATAGTTTTGTAAAACTTAAGGTTATCTGCGTATTGCTTGACCGCACAACTTCATTCTGTATGCCTATATAACTAAGATCAGCCGAGTAAATATTAAAAAGTATGGGAGACAGGACCCGCCGCATTGAGGGATGCCGCTAAGGAGCCGAAAGACATTAGAATAGGACTCGTTAATGCGAAGCTGGAAAGTTCTTCCAGTAAGAAATTCCCTAATCCATTTGTGTTTGCATTATGCTTGGAACAGTGTGAGAGTATGGTGGAAAAATTCAATCAATCGACTAACTCTCTTATTTAGAGCATTTTTTGGGAGTACGTGACCTGAGCAAACGTTTTCGTGTATAGTTCAAATACTTTAAGGCAAAAAAATGCGCGCGACTAGGGCTTGTTCCAAGTTTTTTTTCCCGCGACTGTATTTCGCGTTTTACTTGATTGCGAGAGTTGTCTGAGGTCGGTTTGATTTTGCATCACTTCTCCTGACAACTGATCGCTCCATTTACTGGTCCTGATCACTTCTCCTTTCTGTTTTGCAATTGGGACGACGCCCTTGAGTGTGTGGCTACGGATGGTTCACGATGAATGAAGGGATGCTGTCGAAACTAAAAAGACCCGCTCATCCTCTCTGTTTCCTAGACAAATTGCCTACCAATGAGGTCGTTCAGGGCGTGGAGCGCTTTTTGAAAACGGTTTTTTGCATGATGTAGGGGCACGTGTATGCGGTACTAAACTAACGTTCGTTTTCCCTACGCGCGTCTAGGATGATTTTCCGCGCTTTCTGCGGGCCTATCAGGCTTATGTGAAGCATGAAATGATTTTGGGCACATCAAAGTTACTACATGGCCCGATACGTCATCGTTACGTCATCACCGCTACGAATGTGTGAGACTCCAGTCATCATCGCCGACCAAATAGTCCATCAAAATCGAAAAAGGTGAAAAAAAGTTTTGGACGAAAGTCGGGGGTAACCCCAATGGTCCTGATCACACCTTGACACTCATTTTTGGCGCTGACACAATTTGGCGGCAGACTGGCGCGAAACATCCCTTGTACGGGTGTACATAACGCAATTAGCGAGAGAGATTTGAACTCAATTCGGTAAATTACACCGACTCATGAGGTACCACCATTTAGAAAGTGTTCCTAAATGGCAAATATCCTGGTTGTATTCGTGCGCGGTCATAAACGACGCAAAACAGTAAAATCTGAAAAATGTAAAAACTAGTAACCCGGGGAATGTCGAACCATCAACTCCATCATCACTGTCCGAGCTAGAATCCACGCTATCCACCAGGCCTCCGATCGCTGGTGATGGGTATCGCTCCGATCGTTGAAGAAACAATTCCAACGAGCCGTCCACTTTGATCAGGTGTCCCAAGTAGCATCTCATTGGCGACTATTTTTCTTCTCGATTCCAATAGTCCCTTTTTAAGGACCCTCCACTCAGCTAGCTACTGATAAAAGTGGCAAGTGATCTACAGCGCATAGAGGCTTAAAATCAGGCTGTTTCTTCAGTTTTCTCCTTTTTCGGTATTCCCAGAGGCGCGTAGTAGGAAAAATGAACGTCAGTTTGGTACTCCATGCACGTGGCCCTACATCATGCAAAAAACCGTTTTCAAAAAGCGCTCCACGTCCTGAACGACCTCCCTTGTTAGTCCAATCACTTTAGCCGGAACTCAGTCCTCGATGTGACAAACACAGCAAAAACAATAATTTAGTAGATATTATGCACATGAAGTCTTTACACTGAAACGAGTCATTTGTGATACAGGAACCCGGATTGGGCCGATAAGATGGTAAACACTTGTTTGTGCTAACTTCAAAAAATGTGAAAGAACATAAATCTCTGGAGATGACTAATACATAAAATGACTACAACGGGATACCGAACGTAACGGGAACATAGTAAAGGATTAGGAACATTGATGTCGCTCTTCATATAAGGCGAAAGTAGGCAATGAGTTAGAGGCAATAAAGGGAGGATAACGATACACAGACAGAGTCAAGATTTTTCGTCAGATCTCGATGTCAATAATAACGCAAATCTCTAACAGCAGCGAGGTTGACCGTTGAAAATGCATTCATAAAACTTGTACACAAAGTTTCTTGATACTCTCCCCTTCTTCTTGCCTCCTGTTTGTGAGGGATCGAGGCCAGCAGCAGACGCACCCATTGGGCCACCTTTCCGCCGTTTGATTTCTCGCATCAAGTCGTAAAACACCTGAAAAATTCAACAAGGTGATCGTTGAGAACATGGACATTGGTGATAGCGAAGGAAATCTTTTCTTTGTCAACGCAAGCGTAACACATGTCCACTAAAAGCCGAAGAACTGCAAGGCTATGAACTGCGTTCCAACCACATTATTTTGGAGCGAATGCTTTATGTCAGCTAAACTGCGGAGTTCAAAAAAACTCCCCTCCGACAGAAAGAGTGATCGCGTGCAAAGTTCCCACGAAAATGAGCAAGTGCATACATGAGGAAGCAGAAGTAAAGTGCAACGTGGCAAAGAGCACTTCAAGGACCGTCCAACAAAATATTTGTGCTTTTGTTGGCAAAAAGGCACTTCTACTTCACAGGGAAAGACACTGAGTAGGAAGTTCATCGATGCGTTAATGGACAGCTGTTGCAGAAGCCATTGATTTTCGCCGCAATAAAAGTGTGCATTAGTCCAAAAATGCTAAATATAAAAAAAACTACGGAGAGACAGCATAGCCTATGGTAAATTATGGTGGAGTCTCTTGCTTCAGGCCTCTATGCTTTTTACAACAATACGATCCCAAGTGAGAGTCCGCAAAACAAAATATACCTCGACCAAATCGCGAACTCGTCTTAACTACAGCTTAATGCTCAAAAAAAACAACACTCTGATTACCATTGATTATAATCACTTTTTCTTCCTGGGCATTGTTCCAGTCAGATACCGTAACCCTCCCTTCGCTACTTCCAGCACAGCTAGGATCGAAAAATGACGGTAAAATTGAGCAGTTTCGAAAGACAAAAAGGTCCGCAGTAAAGCGGGGTGGTGTTGACGCAAGAAGTCCAGAAAATAAGGGTGCAACTTTTTAAGAACGACTGAGTGTCTACCCTGTTTGTTATAGATGAGCACACGAACCAAGCGAGCTTAAGAAACAGTTCTGGGGAATGAAACGAATGGGATATGTGCAGGTTTCATGTAGCTATCTCACATTTATCTCTTACAAGGGAGGTCCTTTCAGGTCGTGCGCGAGCTTTTCAGAAATGGTTTGTTGCTTGTTGTAGGGGTCCATATAAGGATCACAAGAACGGGTTTCGTTTTTGCTATGCGCTTGGGAGGTCAAAAAATGGGTGAAAAGTTTGCTGGGGAAAAGCGATTTTGAACCATTTTTCTAGGCTTTTTTTCTATCTCTAATGTTGAGTATGCACAGCAAATGAGACCTTCGTACACGACCGCAGATCGATAACAATACAAGTCAAGGTGGAAAAAGTACTTTGTCTGGCACACAGTGAGGCAGCATTGTAGTTTCTCAAGTGATTCTCGCAGCATCCCAACCCGCAGTTAGGGGGGGGTATTCAGAGCCATGTTGGCGCCAAATGACCTAGGCGCCAGTTATAAAGGTCAGAACCGTGATCAGGGCCGTCAATAACCTCTATATACAGAGTTCCAGCGAAAATTTTCTCCTCGAGCTGAGCGCTTAAGCAGCACCCTGGTCGGGTTGACAACAATTAGTGCAATCAATGCTCTTGCAGCCAATCGCGAGGCTGCGTCCGCGTGGTTAAAAATATGAGTGTTCGTGCTCGTGAGTAAGGTGAATTCCAGTCATCTCCGGAGCCCAACTTACAGCAAGAGTTTCCTGAGTAATGTTTTAAGAGCGCAATAGTTAAGTAGGGTGAAGTTTGAGTGTACAGAATGAGCTCTTAAATGGCATATATCCGTGTTATATACATCACCACGCACGCAGGAACACAAGGAGACAGAAATCCGAAAAACGCATAAAGTATCCGAAAAATGCAAAAAACCCAGCGCCAAGAGGATCCGATCCGCAAACCTTTCTCCGTAAAGAACCCCGGAAACCGCACTTATCCACTCCGGCATCACGCCGACCAGAGAAATACTGGTTGCGGAGACTAGCTGAAGTAACTTACGTCGGACTAACTTTCTCGCATGCACTTTCTTTGATTTATTTTGCTCCTCTTTTCGATACATACGTGAAGGGATCACCCTTATATAACCAAAGCACTCGCAAGCTACAGCTACAAACAGATCCAATTAAGACGGTTTTAAAATCGCCTTTCTTGTCAATTTGTTTTTCACGAAGTTTTTTGAATGAAACCCATTTTTGTGATCCTTGTATGGACCCCTACAACAAGCAACAAACCATTTTTAAAAAGCGCGCCACGACCTGAAAGACCTCCCTTGTTAGGAAAAATCTCATCTACCCTTCTTGTGTTGACGAAACAGAAGAAGAGGATAAGAATGGTGGAGGTTCATAAAAAAGGCAAAGAGGATTACAAAGGTTGGCAGAGGTTACAGGAAAATCTGGATAGTACACTATAAATTGCTCGTCCCGTTGCATGGTAACTTGAAAGAAAATAGGCATGAAACGAAAACAATTTTCTCCTGCACAGCTCTGGAGAACAGGGATGTGGTAAAATGGAATTTGGAAAGGATTGTAATTCTAGGAATTTGGAAACAGCACATAAGAGCAAAGCTCATCTGTTAACAAAACTCAACGTATTCTAGTCTACCCGTGAACTGTTAAAGGTGAAAAGTAGGTGAGGAGTAGTAGAAAGTTAACCATGAACCGTCGAACGCCCTCTCCCATTAGGTACTTGGACCAGAAATCGCGTTTTGGTCACATGCGTTCATACCTTTCGACACCGATCAATCGTGGAATTTGAAAAATCGGCGAACTGTGGAAGTTGGAAGAAACGGGGAAACCATGAAAGAGGATGTATAAGTGTATTTTCGCACATTCGCCAGTTCTTCAAATTCTACGATTCGCCACTTCCCCAACTACACGTTCTCTGGATTGCTACGATTCTGATCTCTTTGGCGCTCTGATCGACTCTTCGAATTGCAATTATCGATTATTAAGATTGATCCGTACGCGGACATTCCTTCCTTCTGTTCTTCCAGTAAGGCAGTTCGTGAATTAGGAGGAGTGAAGAATGGGAGTTTCGGGCGTAAAGGCGTTTCAATGTAGGACAAATTTTATCAAATTACAACTGAAAAGCAGACTTGAGGCCGACAGCATAACGGTTGAGCTACGATACCACAACCTTACGCCCGAAATTACTACTGACTGTAGGTATGACCGCGTTCGCTCAAGCGCTGAATAGCTCGAGCGATTGGGTCGCGCCGCTGACGTAGATCGGAGCTGATTGATCGCGCGAACCGCGCGACAGTGGGCGCTCTATCGCTAAGCGATGCACCGCCGCAACGGCACAATTCAAACCAGCACTAAGTAAACGCGACCCAGTCTGAATTCTGCCGTTATGGCAGTGCACCGCTTAGCGATAGAGCGCCCACGGTCGCGGTCGCGCGACATGATCGCTCGAGCAATCCGATCGCAAAGTCTGAACGCCCCCGTAAGAATCTTTCGCAGCAGATATGAAAGGCTCGCTCATTTGAAGACACAGCAGTCGGCACAAAGCTCCTTTCAGATGGCCATGCTTGCTTGACTGGAGAGCAGAGGGTTCTCGCACTAGAATCCACGAAATTGGCTGAGTTTTCTACCGTCAATGCACTCGGCAGTCACTACTCAAATCCAACAAGCCAAGCCGCATGTAGTCGCATAACTCGGCAGTATTCTATTTTAACGGGAAAGAACTTGAGATCTCAACTCAGATCGTATTCACCCGACATGCAGCCGTAACTTGCTGTCTTGGTCAATAGAAGTACTACTGCTGACCAGTGGCAAGTACAATGAAAACCTGTCGATTGTGGAAACTAAATTCAGAAGGATGTTCTCTACAATTATTGAAGAAATGAAGTTGCTGAGTGTCTGTATACTCCCCGGACGCTTAAATCGGATTGCGAACAGTGAAGAAGCTTGACCAAGATCAACATCCTTTCCCATCTCATCGTTTCTTCTTCGTTTCATTTGGATAAACATCCTTTCCATGTTGGAGTGAGATGATTAAATAAAGTAAAAGTAAAGAGAAATATGCATAAGAAATACCTTGTCCACGTTCTCTCTTCTCTTCGCGGAAGTCTCCACATAGGGAACGCCCCATCGTTCAGCTCTGAAAGTCAAACGCTCAACTTTTACAAAATTGGTACTTATCATCTGAGCCAGCCTGATATTTTGGCCCTTCTTCAACATCTCACAAAGAGCATTATTTTCTACGAGATAATTACATTTTGAATCCTTAAAACCCTTTATAACCACTCACCTTTGCCGCGCCATCTCTAATGGCACTACCCGTTCTTCACGAAGGTCTGCTTTGTTGCCGACGAGAACGATGGGAATTGAATTATCTGAGTTCTTCACGCGAAGAATCTGCTCTCTAAAGTTAAAACACATTGGTAGAGGAAAGTTCTCCAAACAGAAGGAAGTTAAAGGAGATTAACGCTCAAATTATTTTGGATGTGGAACGTTCCCTTGCAGTTTCGGCATCCCGGTACAAGTTCACTTGGAAGATAGGGTCTACGCGTAGCGCCCGCGCCATTCTGAGTGTCTGGATCTTGGTGCGCCTGCTGTGTACGTTACCCGACTGCTACACTTATTTCGCCGCGACTGGGATGTAACGCTGCACTTCACCATCATCTCTCATCCAACATTTAACAAAATAGAAGGCACTTCGAGATCTCGAAGGCAATCTGGGAAGCATCTAATTTGCAGGCTGCAACTTTTTTCCCTACCACCTCTGATTTGAAACAAACCTAAAAACAGAACTTAACCCGAAGCACTGAGTAGTAGTTAGTAACACTCCCATTTCCTTGTTTTCTCGAGCAAATACATTATTTTCTTTATCAAA